ATAAGGTGTTCCGTGTGTGTAACCGTGTTCTCGAAGTACCGTGTTGTAGGAATATATTTGAGAAATTTTTCATCCATGTTATATCGAAACCATGTTTTCAGAGTATCGCATTTTAAGCGGATTGCGTACGTGTGTGTGTGCGCGCGCGCGTGCGTGGGCGCGCATATCTGTATATGGGTATACGTAGGAACGTATAAAAGGTATATATAATATATAAAAGCTTTCTCGTTTTCTGCGAAGCAAAGTGTACTAGCATATGAAAGTCCATAAGCCGAAGAGTATACCATGTCGTTTCACGAGTTCCATCGTACTAACTAACAACTTCGTTCCGCTTTAATTGGCCTTTACGTTATCGTTCTTTTCAAAAGTATCACAGTCTCTTCATTTTTTCAGATTTTATTTCTTTTTTTATTACTATTATTAAATATATCTACGTATTTGATAAGCAATTTTTGACGAATCAAAGTCCCTTTGAAAATATTCACGTTTCTATTTTTTCTATTAATGTTCTACCACTTGTTGGATTTATACTAATCGGGTTCTCAATTTTTATATTTTTCATCAATGCAATATTATAATTACAATGAAATAATTAATACATTGTTCGTGTGCATTATATGTGTAATATATGGATAGGTATTTAGGTGTTAAAAAAAAAGAGAAAAATTCTTCGAAAGATAAAGTGACTATTGATCAAGAATAAGATCTTATCACTTTCTCTTGATACGAATCCACGTGTGCGCGTGCACACACACCATGCACGCACACCACCTACACGTAACATCGTATAAAAGATCGGCTACGTGCTTCTCGTCATTTTTCTTCTTCCACTTACACACTTTCGAAAGAGCTTAACGGAACTGTTTACGACCCCGACATTATTATACGAGTTCCTTCCAGTAAAATCTCACCTTAGAATCAATTTAATATGCATTAAAGTCAGTATAATACAAAGTACACATCTATTAATATACTTGGAATATTAAACAATTTCTATTAGATATTTTATTAATGACAAATTTTCAACTCGAAAAGTCATCACTGGTCAGGAACGTTAAAACGATTTAAAATATTAGTAAAATACTGTACTGTATTCGATTTATCTTAATTGATTGTTAATTAAACGAAAAAAATGTGTACTGCAATTTAGAAGCACTGGGTATATGTTCGCAGTACCGTCCTCCTCAAAATTCACCTTTAGACTGGCACTTTCTCTTCTATGAAAATTCTTTTATTAAAAGTTGTTTATATGACTTTCAGACTGTTGTGCATGTGATCAACGGTTATGATATACCTAATTAATAGAATTTAAGATTATAACCTTCTGATTTTAGTATTTTAATTATTTTTATGTAATTTTTTAATCGCTCCTGCGCAGTGATGATTTCGAGGGTAACATTTTCCTGTAATATAAGTAAAGTGTATTAATGTATTAAAATAATTGTTAATTAATCGATAGAAGTGTCTATTGTTGTTTAAAAGCTCGGAGTATATGTTCTGTCAACCGTTTTTCTCGAAATTCACCTTAAGACTGGCACTTGTTCTCTATGCAAAGTTTTTTATTGAATGTTGCTTTTATGACTCT